TTATTCCCTATATAGGAAATTCGCTAAAAACCACGAAAAACACATCATTAAAACTGTATTTTACCCGGTAATTGATTTCTAAGAATTTTACGTTTCTAAAATGTAAAATTCATGTAATTTAATGTTTGTGAATAATTAGTCGAATTTGACTCGGATAATGCAATTCTGTTGTCCATTTGTCAAAATAAATGCGTTATTGGGCATCAATTAAATTTTGTAAAAATATGACATGGCAGCATGAATGGGATTATCACAAAAGTGGAAAACTCTGTTTGGTATTGGCAGTTTCGGAAAATATAATTTTAAGTTTTCTTTTTCACTAAACCATTTTTTTTTACTATTAATAATTATCAACTAGTTTACATGTTGCTCAAATTCGAGCAATTGCAAAATATTACCTAGAAGTTGTTTTAAAACGAATAACAGTCATATTTACAATGAGTTTAAAAGAGTCAACTCAAAGATTACCGGTGTGTAACTCAGACCATGTTAACTTCGTTATTGATAAACCTAAAGCATTCCGGTCGGTTTTCTCCTTCTCAAAATGCCTCGCTCTACAGGCAATACAGGTCATTGATAGAGGGTCAATTGAGAACGAAAAGTCGTTTAGGGGTAGTGTTAGGGCGCATTTGTAATCAAATAGTTGAGATTGTCCAGGGTCAGGTGCTGACTGTGATGATTACGCCTCTTGTCTATGTTTCGTTGTCGTCGCGTCGGAGGCATTTAAAAGAAAAATAAAACAACAAATAAACAAATTATAGCTACACAAAACAACTATAAATGCACAAATTTCAGTTACAATCATGCTAACTCGATCCGTCATAGCGACACAAAACAACGATAAATACAAATTTAATATAAATTTAAGATACAACCATACTAACACAATCCGTCTTGGGGGTTATGTTTACACAAACTCAAACAGTAAATATAAATGTACTCAGTGCGTTTCATTGAATTGAAATAGTTATTTGTGCAACTAGTGAGAAAAGTGAGCAATTGACTCACTCGAGAGAAATCCTAACTCACGGAATGGTTTCTCGAGTGAGGCAATTGTACTTTGAACTCGAGTTGCACATTATACTTTTCCTACAGTTACCATAAAACAAATAAATTTGTGAAGAAACATAACCTAGTTTTACACAGAAGTGAACTTTTAATGTAACATTTAATGTGAAGTGACAAATACAACAGTACAGTACAACTCAGCTGACCAGCTGATTTACAGCCAGTGCTGCCAACGTACTTCGCGCGCATACGACGTTGCCTGCATGTTACGCGCTCACTATTTCGTGCCTTCACGTTGCAAATCTGGAGTGAGACAAAGTAATTAGAGTGAGACAATGTTAACATTGTCTCACTGATGAGCGAATTGGCCACTTTGCTTTCTCAAATCAGTGAGAGAACATGTACATTGTTAGGTAACTGTAGGAAAAATAAATAACAGCAATTAAATTATACAGCTGATCAAAATGTAAACAATTATGTTCTTCATAAGGACAACATGGGAACTTTCAAAGCCACTGGGGCAGAGCCCAAGGGGCTTTTTCGAAAATGTAAGGCCAGTTTGCAAATCTACGCGACACGCTCTTTCCAATGAGACGTCAATGGATAAAATCGGTTAAGAAATGGCGAAGGAGTTCAACCGACAAAGTTTCATGTAGCGTATTAATTATATATATTGAGATGGGGATGCCACCTATGCGCGACGCGCGTATTCTAACCCAAATATGAGTGAAGGATGAGTATAGAATGGAGTGTGTTACTTATGTAGCTTTGTTACTGATTAAGATTAGCTGTTTTATTAGTCAGAACCATCTATTTAAGCCCCGATAATAAAGGACTGCAGGGTCCATCCATCAATTTAATCAACAAATATTCTTCGTTGAAATAGCTAAAGTATCAAGTCATATGCAAACAAAGCAGCAAACACAGCGAATGAAAGTAGCGAATATTTTTACATAACATCTTCATTTTTATAAAATGTAGAATAATTGCTTAAAAGTTAAATAATTAGAACAAATTGAAATAATACTTCACTTTCGGAGCTATAGTAGGCCCTACTATAAGTAATAAATTCTTATATCGATGGTTAGAAACACACGTATGATATGTCCATTTTACCAAACTTTCGGGAAACGCAAAAAGAAGTTTTGTTTCTAACATTATTTTAAAATCCTTAATTGTACTTAATATACTAGGGTAAAATATGAATGCCTATTTAATATATTTTATGTTTTAAGTAGTTGTTTACCGTTATTTAGTCTACTTTGAGAGAAATTAAATTATATTTTGGAAGAAGTCGGACATGTAACTCTTGTGCACTAAGCAAAACCTGGAACCACGGACATAAAACATCTGTGCATAACACAAAGTGTCTAAAAAGAGATTGTTTAAAATTAATAGTTAGGATAACTCCTGTTCTTTTTTGAACGTAAACAAGACTTCTATTTTACCATATGACACTTTCAATTACTAATCATTAATAGCAAGTACCCTGTTAGTAAAAATAAAACATGTGACTAAAAACAGTAGAAAAAAAAACGTAATATTAAATCTATAACAGAGATTAAAGGGCTGGTTTGCCAGTTTTACACAATTCATTGCAGAATAATTATGACATTTATTTTAGCATGAAAGTTAAAAAATAATTTTGAATTTATATTTTATAACCAATCAATCAGTAATCAATTAATTTACTGATTAATTTACAATCAATTTAATTTATTTTAATCAATTAATTGTCAAACTTCAGCCATTTCAATTTCAACCAATTAACTGTTTTTCTTTTGATATTGATTGTCCTATTTTGGATGGCAAGTTTGCCTAGGCTTGTTAGATCATAAATGTCATTACAGTATATTTTCGAATTTTAACATTGTAAGGTTTGGGTTTTTTCCTAGACATCTCAAGAAGTACACCCCATTCCTCAGTCGTGTAAATCTTTTTGTGTTTACGTGCTCTCTCAATTGTAGAGTGCATGGAATCTGCTTCAAAGTACGTGTGGCCAGGTTCCATGTACTTCATATCCACATTTTCTTTCAATGTTTGTCTTATTTACAATATACAACATTGCAGAGCCTATGAACTGATTTCTGTTTTGCCCTCCACATGTGTCAGAATAGGTTGTAACATGTTTGACATGAGTAGGTAGGTTTTTCATGTATATTATAAGGCCTGTACGGATTTCACTTGAACCATTCATTCCATTCCTCTTGTCCCATACATGACAGAATCCATCTGAATTAGAATCTAAAATTGTGAAATTGTAAACAGAAAGTTTCCGTTTATAGTAAATTTTACAGTCCCCAGCAAATGGTACCATCAACACAGCTTGTAAATCAAAAGTAGCTGTTACTTGATCTTTTTCTTTAGAGTTCATGTCTTTCTTCTTCATGTCCATTGCTTCTGTTGCCTTGCATGTGTTTCGTAGTTCTCACCGAATCAGTTTATCTTCAGCAGCCCGATACTGAAGCACAATACTGGTTACATTTGGAACATTGATCTTTTTTAGGGACAAATGTTGTCAGGGGAGGATCATAGGATTTGAAAACTGAATGAAACACACCATTTTTTACAGGATTTACGTTTTCCTTTGTGCAAACTCGTCACATACTATCTGTAAAGTTCAGAAACATTTAACTCTGGAGAGAGACAGAGTTTTTTTTAGTCCTTCCTACAATAGTGTGACTCCATCCTTGGAAACTGTCTATGTGTTTTTTAACAGTTCTATTTCCTCAGGCTTTGAAGCATTTGGAACGGGCCTGCCTTTCCTACCATCTTCTCATAAAAATACTCTACTTGAAGATGTTTTTTCCAAAGCCAGTTAAATTATTTGAGTGCTTATCTGAAATAAGGCACAAAGGAACTTTTGACATACATTTCTGTGTTTCTTTTTAGCACTTCTGGCTTACCTGTAGGGGAGCATAGCAAAGCTGAAATATTTTCCACCTTTGTAAATAGTTTGTGATGAGCATTTCCATCTGTTTTCTGCTTTAAAATCTCCAACATTTTCAATCCTCGACTTTTAGGATCCATTTTTAAACAATCCTTTCTTTAAAAACTGATAAAGCCAACATAGAAGAATAAAATCTTACTGCACAACAGTTCCATGTCCAGATGTTTAACGAACTGTTGGAATTAAAGTACAAGCGTATTCTGCACAACAGTTTTATGTCCCGGACATGTGGCATGTGTGCATAAAAATAAATCCGGTATGTACTTACAATCAGCTGCTTGACCACAGAGGAATAAAATCTTACTGCACAACAGTTCCATGTCCAGTTGTGTAATACCCTGTGAGCAACACAACAACATATTCTTCTGCACAAGAGTTTTACGTCCGGACATAAGATGTGTGTGCACACAAACCAAGATACCCAGTAATAAAGCTACTATTACTCTGTAAAACTTAAGGACATAACACAGGTGTGCACTTTATAATGAGTCAATACTCAAGACTCTGTATTTTCTTTTGTTATTTATTTAAAATTTTTGGGTTATATTGGACATATAACGAGTGTGCAGTTGTAAAGATGAAGACTCCACCAATTCAGTGGTAGCGGTATCTCATTTTACAAAAAAAATGGACATACTACAAGTGTGCTTCTAACCATCGATATGCATAACCGTACATGCTTCTATACTCGCGAGATGTAAAGTCAATCAGCCACATATACGTTATTTTACTAATAATTTTACTTTAAACTGTAAAAACTTTCTGTATTATAAAAGTTGATCCATTTTCATGGAATTCCAACATTTTATTATCAATGCTATTTTGAAATTATAGCGTTTATTTGGTATAAATAGTACCATAGTACTTTTCAAAATAAACACAAAACCACTTTATTCTACGCTCGTCGCTCGTCCAACGTCAACGTGTCAAAACGAAAACACTCAAGCACTAACAGCAGTCAGCTCCAGCTGTGCCGGTATTTATCTATTTAGTAGCAGCAGCTGTTGTATTATAGTAAATTAACAACAGAAAAAGCAAAGTTTTTGAGGTTGAGTTTTTGATGTTTTGTCTTGTCAAGTTGTATGGTTATCAACAATATTCTCTTATTTCCGATGACAACAACATAACCTTTGGTAGTCACTAGTCAGTCAGCCCTACGTGGCTACTAACTTGTTTATCCTTTCTGAGATTCAAGAAAACTGGTCCATCTTAAAGATTTCAACCAATTTAAGTGTTCAGAACTATAAACAATGGAATACATATACTTTTTGCTCGTGTATTGTATAGCATTTATTGGGGTTTTGTTTGCAGCTGTAAGTATAATAAAACCAACACAACCTTATTCTTTTTATGGATATTTATTAGCCTATACCTGGGATGCATAAATTTTATATCCTAGCCTAAGTTAGGCCTAGTCCTATTGGCTACAAACGATGTTCCAAATAAAAAACATGCCTGATGCTTCAACATATTTCTCTAGAAATCATAGTTTTCATAACTTAGTCTCTCTCAAAAACACTCATAATGTTTTTTCCTCTACTCTATATTGAAAAAGTTCAGAAAACCTTAGAAATCCTTGCCATGGGTTTTTGCTCACGTTGATGCCATTTTGTAGGCTACATTAATGTACAGTGTAATGGAATAACGTTTTTAGCGATAGTGGTACAAACCCATATAGTGCTCTCCTATAGACATACCAAGAACAAAACAACCTGCGCAGAAACGAAAAGATCACGTGGTTCGCGCAGGTAGGTGTGGCGTACCATTCAAACCTGCGCGGCTCGAAACGGCCCAGGGTTCTTTTGTTTCTGGTATTACTATAGTAATCTAAATGTCGCCGGTTCGATCTTGAGGAAAGTTTGTAGCTTTTTGAGGATTCGAAACTGGGCCCAGTTGTCCTTGATCATTAGACTTTTAATAAATGGTTCTGACTAATGAAACAGCTGGCCATAGTAAGTAACAAAGCTACACAAGACATCACACAGTCTACACTCATCCTTCACTCATATTTTGGTGGCGTCCTCATCTCAAATGATAACTTAGTCACCGATTTGAGTATTTATGTTGCAGCTCTGTGTAGTCCTAATGAAGACTACCACACCACACCCAGTTGTAAAGCGAACGGAAAAAGAAAAGTCATTCCTAAACACCAAAGAAGGTTTGAGGATATTATTCCCATCACTGGACGAGCCTTTTTCAGTCCTCTTATCTGTTATTGTTCCGGCATATGATGAGGAAAAAAGATGTAAGTGATTGTTAATTGAAACCAAGTCTTCCAATCTAAGAAAGTATTTTTTAAGAGCCTAGGCCTACTGGTGTTTTGAATCATAACTGCATCAAACATACTTAGGCCTGACTAAGCCTATTTCATATTATTATCAAATTTCCACAAAATAAATTTTTATAACTTATATCTTGGTTTTACTATACATTTGTTACAATATAACCTAGGAAATACTATTCCGGATATAGAATAATCCATAGGATCATCAAACATTCCGATTTGATAACAATTTAAAATGGTAAATTAAATACAGCTGATCAAAGTAACTATCATCATTTATTTATAGATAACACCAGTTAGGGTACCTATATAAGTTTGTTGGGTTGTTATTAAAAACACTTGTATGTTGGATTATCGTTTAAAACACACGTACCACGGTATGTTGATTGCTTATAGGCTGTAGTAGTACTCAAAATCATCCATGATGATGGCCTTTGCACATATTTTTCAGTACCACCGATGTTAGATGAATGTTTTGAGTTTCTTGAAACAAGAAAAAAGACCTTGCCAAGATTCACTTACGAGGTGATTGTTGTAAGTGATGGCAGTCGGGACAAGACAGTAGAAGTTGCGCAGGAGTACACTCGGAAGTATGGAGCAAACCAGTGTCGTGTCTTGAACCTCCAGACAAACCGGGGCAAAGGTGGAGCAGTAAGACTGGTATGTTACGTCTGGCTTAATTTACGATATGCTACTGTATGTGTTTCTCAGCATTGAAGTGAATGTGACGAATTCATGTATGATGATGCTATATAGGCCTATATAAATTATAAATTGTTTTGATCTTGCAGCTTACTGATAAATAATAGCCCATTTGGGTTTAGGCCTACTCTTCTATTGAAAAAAATGTAGATCTCAGGTCTACCTGCTATTAGGCAGTTCATTCAATTGCAGAAGCAACTAGTTTCAGCTCCTATATGGAGCCATCATCAGGCGCAAGTGAGACCAGTGAGTCTGGACTAACTTTGCCGGGATCTAGTGTTGTCAGTTATGAACTGATCAGTAACCATAAATATATTGGGAACTTCTGTGTCTTGTTTTCAAATGTTTACTTTTGTGTGTTTTAAATTTGACGATGTTCAAGTGAAGATAACAAAAATGTCCTTGTACCACCTGATGATAGCTCCATGTACGAGCCAAAACTAGTTGCCCCTGCAATTGAATGAACTGCCTAATAGCAGGTATTTAAACTTTGTTTAGTATTACTTGGTAATCTAGAGGCTAACATCTACAATTTTTGTTCTAGATTGATTAGGTACTTATTAAGCTTAAAAAGTACCTATTAAGCTTAATAAGTAACATATTAAGCCTAAGTTAAAATGTGGTGTCACCCAAAATAGTTAAAATAACAAAATATCAGATTAATTAATATTTAGTAAGGGCTAAGTATTGTACAGCTATACAATACAAGTTATTCCAGGGTATGCAGTCAGCCAGGGGTGCGATGCTTCTGTTTGCCGATGCTGACGGAGCTACGAAGTTCTCTGATCTCGTCAAACTGGAAGACAGCCTCAAAAGTCTTGTAAAAGGTAAAATCATAGATAAAACATACTCCCTTAGTAGATTTGTCATCCTAATGGAACAGCTGAAGCCAGTTTTATTGTTATTTCTGTACGTCCAACTGTAGAGGTTGTGTTTTGTTTACAATTTGTTTCTTGTTATTTCAGTCATTTAAAACCTAATTTAACCAAATAAAACGACATAATCATAAACAATAATTGGTCTCCTAGTTATATAACCAAATAGTAAAGCACAAATCATGAAAATAACCCTAAAATGATAGTAACAAAATTTTGTCTACCCCAGCGATCAGTGTGGACGTACATGAACTAGACATAAAAAACTAGCTTCAAAATTTACAATGGGATGAGGCGTATACTTGTGTTGCTTAGTCTATGGTAAAACCAACAATTTTCTTATGGTTTTATCAAACTACGTACCGTACCATTACCGCTGGATTACAACCAAATCATGCTAGGCCTAGTATTTCAAATCACCCAATACGAAATGCATGTAGTTAATACCCATGATCAGATTTGTCTCATATATTTTTATTTGGTCATACCTAATGCCCTATACCAAATTTTATAAAACAAGGGGTGGAGGTGGGACTATAGTATTATTGAGCACAGAGTACAGCAGAACCTCTTAAATCCAAACTAATTGGGACCGGGGGTAGCTTGGACTATTGAATAGTTCAGATTACATAACTTGTTGTTGTTTTTTTATATAACAATAGCTCAAATGTGGCTAAAATGGATCATAATTGTTACAGGAAAAGTAAAAAATGATTTATAAAGTAAAATACAGTGTTGATTTTATACAGTAGTAAACATAGTAAATAAACAGTACTGTACATTACAATAGAAACAATTACGGTGCATATATCAATAAATACAGTATACAATAAAGAACTACTGTAGCCTACTGTGTATAGATTACACCAATGAGGCGTTCGGTTCTGATTAGTGGACGTTCGGATTATGGGGGTTCGTATTAAAGAGGTTATACTGTAATGTGTTATCACTGTACCATTGTTGGGTTTAGGAGATTACCTGACGGAGGCTGAGAGGATATCCAACACACTGGCCGTGGTGTGCGGCTCACGAGCTCATCTCGAGAAGGACGCAATTGCCTCACGTTCGTTGATCCGCACCATTCTAATGCACGGGTATGTCATTCTTTTTTTTTGTAGCCTATGTAGGCTACATTTCTTAACATTTTATTTGTACTACATTTTGTTGGGTAAAAATAATCAAATTAAATCTCTTCAATCATTATGGAATATATATCCGGAGGTAAAAGGTATAGCTAGTGTCTTGGATTGCAAATACAAATTAATTAATGTATAATTTTTACCATTGTTCTCTTTGTGTTTTTAAAAAGTGCAATCAGAAAATTAAAATGGAGCTTCTATGAATTACAGTTGAAAATAGGAATTATTTCCACTCTAAACAAAATACATTGACCTAAAGTAAAACCCTCCCCTTGTAGCATAAAATTAGCTCAGGAAAACTGACTGATCGGAATATCTGACTCCACTTATCAAATACGTAATGTGAATAGTTTATTGTTTTCAACATTCTATTTTATAAACATTGTCAAGTAAATTTTATTCTAGAAGATCACTTCAGAGACTTTAATTTGGTCGAATAGGGATTCGCTGATTCCTGATATTTTTGGGTCAAGGACTGGCCAACAGTAGGCCAGAGAGATCGGTTCGGCAAGAAATAATTTTTTAAGCTTGGGTCGGTTTATTTATATTAGAATTATGTTAGCGGCTGGACTTTTGAGCTGAGTTGAGCTTTCATTTTCGCAGAAAGCATCTGTGAAGATGGACGATTGAAAATTTTCAATTTCGTTGTGATCGCTTGTGATTTTCACAATTTTTCTATGAGTTGATCAGGATTTCCCACTTAACACATATCTTCACGATTAAACCGTTACTGCTGAAGATGTGTCACTGTTCTGCAGGGAACATTCACTATTTACCAGCGAATAAGGGAGATACAATAATATTCAATATTGTCAATCAGTTTTGGCCAAAAGGTCAACATTTTTGGACAAAAGTGTTAATTTACAATGATTAAATCTTATTAATTATGTTTAAAAATATTATTGTAATCATCCTGAAAAAAATGTAATGACCTTGTCACTTAGAAAATTTATAAACACTAAAACACTATTTTAGTTAATTAAAAAGTATGTAATTTTCTGAGGGTAAAAAAGATTTACAAGTAGCTAAATATTGTATTTTGTTTTCTTTAACCAGTAAATTTGTAGGCCTATCTAATTATTTTAATTGCCTTCTACGGCAAAATTTCACATTTCACCCCACCAATCACCGTGCTAAAACTAACATTGGCGACATACATAAACAGTGTATCTGATGTACGTACCTGAAGTAGTGACTTAAGGAACTACTTAGCTCATCCCAAGAGTTCCCAAACAGCCTTAAATCTGTTTTTCAGCAGTATGACAGAACATGATTTACAGGTTTCACCTGCTGGTGTGGACGCTGGCAGTTCGTAGTGTACATGATACGCAGTGCGGGTTCAAGCTACTCACCAGAGAGGCAGCTAGAGTTCTGTTCTCGAACTTGCATGTGGAGCGATGGTAAGTACCATAACATGTCTTTCATCAGTAGTCATACTATCTGGATGATCAGCTTTAGCATATTTTTTATTAATAATGAACATAGATGAATGACCTGTTTACAGGGTTTGCTAGTCTGAAATTCAATTATCTCCCTTAATCTGAGTCATAGTGATATGATAGATATTGTAGGCTAATTAAAAAAACAAGTTGTCCTTTCTGTTCTACGTGGTTAAAAACATTGCCGGATTTAAGGTACTTGTGACCTAGGCCAAATTAATTGAGTGGCCCTCAACCCTGTGGTGGAATTTCCTCTGAAAGTGGTGAAAACATAAAATTCTCCTACAGTCTCATCATCGTCACCAGCGATCGTGGATGAAATTTTGAACATCTCCCGTGGGCCACAATCACGGGTAAATCATCATTGTCCACCACGATCGTGGAATAATCGTGAACATTTTCCACGTGCCGCAATCAGGGGGACATCATCATCGACACTTGCGACCGCGGCGAAATTATGAACATCTCCTGTGGGCCGCAATCACGGTGATATCATCATCAACAACCGCAGCTGCGGCAAAATCGTGAACATCTCTCGCGAGCCGCAATCACGGGGACATCATCATCGACACCCGTGACCGCAATGAAATCATAAACATCCCTTTGGGCCGCAAACGCGGGGACATAATCATTGACTCTTACGACTACGGCAATCGGGGATATCTCCCACAGGCCACAATTGCGGGACATAATCATTGTCACTCATGATCGCGGAGAAATCCCTAACATTTACCTTAAATCAAGGGAATATCGTCACTGATACCCACCACTGCGGCAAAATCATGAACATCTCCCACGGGCCACAATCATGGGGCATCATTATCGAAACCCGCGGGCGCGGAAAAATCATGAACATATTCCTTCGGCCAAAACTACGGGGTTGCAGCAAATTGATGGTAAAAAATTCAAATTTGGTTGTACTGAAAAAAATATTTTTGTCAATCCTCTGCAGCCCCCTTTTTTGCGGCCTTAGACAACGGCCTAATCGGCCTAGTGGTAAATCCGACACTGGTTAAAAAATGTTGGCGTATTTAACAGAAATGAGTAATTCCCCAGTGCACTCTGCCAATGCTCAAAATTTATTTACCTTAATTTTGATTTGAAAACTTGTCACAACTTTATAATGGAATTGAAATTACTAGTTCTCTCAATAGTTGCTATCATACTTAATAAAAAAAACTGAGAATTCAATACCGGTATTTGTTTATTTCTAAAAGTAAATTTAAGTTATAGAAGAAAAGAAAAGGGTTTAGTAATGTTTTTTTTAACACTAGTACAACTTTGGGGTGATATTTTTCTGGAACCTTCAAGATATAGAACCAGATATTAGTGTAGATGTTATGCATGACTGATGCTACTGTCACTACGACTATTTTAAAAAGATTCTAAATTTCTCATAAAAGACCCTTTCCAAGTTCTTCGTTAACCTGTAGACAAATTCCAGATGTGCTTTTGGATGGCTTGAGTGAGTTGTACCATGGATAAAACATACTCCCTTAGTAGATTTCTCATCCTTATGGAAGACAATTTTATTGTTAGTTCTGTACGCAGAAGTTGTGTTTTGTTAACAATTATTATTGTTTCTTGCTATTTCAGCCATTTGAAACCTCGTTTAGCCAAATAATAGGATCTAATCATAAACAATAACTTGTCCCCTAATTATATAACCAAACAGTTAAGCACAAATCAAGAAATTAACCCTAAAATAATTTAAACAAAATGTTGTTGACACTAGCGCCCAGTGTCACCGTTCATGAACTAGACACAAAAACAAGCTTCAAAATTTACAATGGGATGAGAAGTCTGCTTGTGTTGGTTAGTCTATGGACAAATTAACTTATTTAAATAATAGTAACCACAAATACTAGTGACTGTGTGTAATTTTGTATTGGGAAATTGTATTAATAAGCTCAATATTTTTCTATGGAATGATTAATTGTTAGCACAGCAGTTTAATTTGAGCTATTCCAGACAGCTTATTTATAAAAAAAAAACTTATAGGGCATTTGATGTTGAACTTCTCTACTTGGCAGAAGAACTGAGTATACCTGTCAGCGAAGTTTGTGTCAACTGGACAGAAATTGATGGTAAGTTTTAGCATTGAATATACACAGATAGTAGACTATCTTCTGTGTAGTAAATAGTTTTAGTAATGTGTAAGTTGCAATTTTCATCAGTTAAGTTTTTTTTTAGTTTGCGGGTTTTCAAAAATTTGAATTTTACTAATAAATAACTGATGGTAAACATATACAATATAATCCTTTAAATAGCAATTAATACTAATAATTTATTCCTAAACATCCATTATAACTATCTATAATGCTTTATCACGTCTTGTATGGTTGCCAGTAGATAAGCAGTATTAGCTTTGAGTCATAAATTTAGGTTAGTGAGCATTTATCATTAGGCCATCCTGACTATGATCAAATTTGTAACCTCTTCTGCGATGGCAAAGACATCATCATCGTCTCTCACAATCGTGAAGTTTTCAACATTGTCCCCCATGATCGCAGAAAATTTGAGCGCATCTCTAGCTATTGGGAAAACATTATCAATGTCTTTCAAAATCTCGGCAAAATTAAGAGCATTTCTTGCAATCGCTAAGGCGTCATCAACTCCTGCGATTATAGCAAAATGAATCAATAAATCAAAACCAACATTTTCCATCCATTTTCAGTTTTGGTTTTTACTAAAAACTGGTAAAACTAACCATATTTACCAGATGTAGCTAAATCCTACGGGTTTGTGAATATGCATTGTTTGCAAATTCAAATTCAATTTATTCATCATAAACATTCACTATACAGTGGCTGAGGATCAGGAATGAATATGTTACATTTCAATATAAATCATGCATTAAAAAAATGAAAATGAATAAATGAATTAAATATATATATATATATAGAACTAGGAATGCCTGACGACTACTGCCTGTCTGCAGCCTAAGAAAATTTTAACCATCCGTTTTATTTCCAGGGTCCAAAATAGTTCCTGTCTGGAGTTGGCTGCAGATGGGACAAGATTTGTTCCTCATCTGGCTCAGATATACGATCGGAGCGTGGAAAATCCACAGGCACAAATGATCATCAGTCGGTGGCGAGATCTCAGCTGTGATCCACAAACTGCGTAGCTAGTGATGGCGATATTGACGATTCGTCTCCACTCGTCAACTTGGGGTAAAAATGATTACGGAAGGGTGACAAAGTTTCAATAAAATAGTATGTAAAAAAAGACAGGTCATGACATCGGAATAAGTCAGGCTTTAAAATCGAACCGGTTCTTCCAAAGAAATTTTGCAGAAAGCAGGCAAAACTGTAGTGGGTTTAGATGTATACTTAATCTACTGAGTTATCGATGGTTTATTTAAATGATAATCATTCAACTTAGAGGGTATCATTAAAATTCTAGAACTTAGTTTCAATTTAAGATTATAAGCAATGATTGAGTAAAAATATATTTGCATGGCAATTGTTCCCAATTGTTTAAGACAAGTTCTGGTAGAATTGGACATAATGAGGTTAATATTTACTTTCATTATGTCAAATTATTTGTACTATTCTTCTTTCCCAAAAAATGCTTCAGTCTATATTTAGAAAATTACATAAGATAACATATTTTGTACAAATATGTTTTAATAGACTTTTATTAGTTAATTTAGGGTAGAATTAAATGAACATTGAATATGCTTTAAAATTTGGGTATGGTTGCTTGGTTTACATAACATTTTGCAGGGTTTTTTAAAAAATTTAATTTGATTTTGAGTTAAATAAAAATATAAATTAAATTTGTAGGCTAAGAACTTAATAGAGCTTTTACTGTAATCTTAAAGAATTAATGTTATTGGTTTTTTTTTCTAAAATAACTTATCCCATTTTTTTATGTTGTATGAACCATGCTTTATTTTGTAGTTTTTATGAACGTTTCACCTTTGAAAGTTCCATGTTTATTTATTTAGTGGCCAAAATGGGTAGTGTTCTCTTATCATGACGCAAAAATCAATGAATCATATTAGGTTGATTCTGCTTAAAGATAAATAAGCATCAAGTGCTTTGATTGATTATGGAACTTAAAAAAAAAATTGATCAACCGATTGAAGTGAAAGGAAAATGTATTTCAGTTTAAAACTAAGAGTAACCTTATCCTTCATGAACTACACACACAAAGAACATTTTTTTATGTTCTCACTTTGTTGATCAAATTTGGACTTAGATTCTGCTTTTAGAGGGATAAGCTTTGTTGTCCTATTTATCTTGTTCATTTTGTTATTTTTAACTTGGTATCAGTATAACTTTAGCCAAAGAGAAGTAAGATACAAAGGATACATGCATATGGGAGAGCCAATATATTTTGGGGCTGAAATGTACTTGTAACTAGCTAGGAGGAGCCCAAAAGGTGATAGCGATATAGCATTGTTGTACAGCAGTTGTAAAGCGCAGGGTCTTACACCCCCAAGGGGGGTTTATTATGTGAAGGGGAGGGGGGAAAGGAGAGCGGGAGGGGTCGAATAGAAATCTCTCTAGACACCAGTGACTGGTGATAGGTACCACTTAAGTGTACTATTGAATGTATCCTCTGTTTCTTACTTCTCTGTGCTCATGAAACAAATAAAAAAAGTGTGATTAGATACCAGGTTTTTTAAAATAAAAAAGTTCATTCATATGTTAGATAATTAAAATCGTTAGACTAAAGGGTATAGAATTAAAACTTACTATTTAATGGTAATTAATTTTATTTCACCCTGAAAGTAGGACAATTATTATTGTTGCTATACAAATAATAAAAAAAAAAAAAAACTAGTGCAACCAAGATGAATAATTAATTGTGTTAGGATAAATTACAAGAACAAATTGTCAATTGAACCACAGTATTCAATGAAGAAATTTGTACAGCTTTTTTAGCTTTAATGTCTTATTTAACAAAATAATATATTTTATCTTAGATTAAAAGTGATTTAAAACATAGATTTTACAAGATGCATTCCAATTTGTTTACAAGGCTATAAAGAAAGTAGATTATTTTTTGCATAAATGTTTCTACAGCCACAAAGACTGATTTAAAAAAAATTTAATTAGCATCTGCTTTCTGGTTTTCCCCTGTATTGTACTTGATAGTTAATTTTAATTATATTTTGTCATTCAAAATGAGTTTAATTGTTTGAAGGTTAGTTATACTATGTATTTATGGTTTTCTTACTGATATCAATTACATTTTGTTTCAAGGATTGGTTATTTTACTTTTTACCCTCCAGGATGTTTTATTGACGGTTAAAACCTGAAATCATCGGTTAAACTTGTCAAATGTTCATTCAACTAATCTTTAAATAATATAAATATTCTTAGGCTAAAGTTTAATTTTTTATCAAGTTCATTGTTTATAGTTATTGTTTGTATGTTAGTCCAGTTTCAGAAAACTGACCCATAATTTTCCCATTAGCTTTTTAGCATTGGGTGAGAGTAACTATGATATTACATTAAGAAAATCACAAAAATTGCAGTATCTTTTGAAGTATAATTTTTTACAGCGTCACTTCCGGTACGGCCATCTGTGTCTGCCATTTGTCGTCTACAACAATGTGTACCATACAAATACTGCTCCCCTGTGTACAAAATAAATTTAGGGCTATCATCATTTTGTTAATCATTCCAATTTGAAGTTCAGATAACAGCATTTTTGGTGAACTGTACGTAGTTTAACAAATTAACCCTGTATTTCGTTTTGAAATAACGTCCCTAATACTTTCCAATTGCTCGAATTCCACCAACAGGTGCACTTGTACTTTATAAATTGTGTATTATATTCTTCAATTAGATTTGTATTGACTCGACCTTTGAAGGGCTGTAGGTCGTAGGATGGTTTGTGTGAAGTTTGGTGCAGATCCGTCAAAAGGGCTCCGCCCCAGTGGCTCTGGAGTTTCCCATGTTAACCTTATGAGTACCCTTATTTAAATGGAATTAAAGAATCTTAACAGCTGTTTCAACTAAACAATTTGATTTTGTGATGATCAATATCATTAAAAGGTTACAAAATGAACCAACAGGGTGCAGCACTATTAATTGTCTAAATTTATGACAACAGTTGCTAATTTCAACCAAGCAGCTGTGATACAAAATTAGAACCGTCAAAGTAGGATTGTTTACAGTTATGTTAATGTTTTTAATTTAATAAATAATTTTTGATAGTGTGTGAATAAGGAGTTTTATTTTTTAATTGCGTAATTCATTAACTTATCGACTTTCTTTTTTCCAAAATGTTTATAAAAACCTATTAAATTTGTATGGTTTATTTTTCCAAAAATTAATGTCTGGGAAACGAAAGTAGCCAGTTAATATTTTAATTTAATACTTTTAGTGGATTACTAAAAGTTTATCTACATACAGTAGATCCATAGAATGGTGGCTAGTAATATATATAAGAGATACTGCAGTGAAATCAATTTGTTGACCAACCTTGACTGAATATTTGTTCGGTAATGATTTGTTTGCAAAACACTTCAAAGTGTAAAATCAATATGCTTTAGTAAGTCACTCTCTTAAGTGGTTCCCTGTGCTTCTGAGAATTTGAGGATTATCTTCAATAATAAGTATTGGTTTAGCAATGTTTTTTTTTTTTACTTGTAAGCTGATGAATCATATTACTGATCTCATCTTTTTAAAATAACTGGATACAGTGATTCAAAATATAGAAGCATCCTCACAGTAATGTTTGAATTCATTAATCTTATACACTTTTAGTACAAGTTAGGGGTTGTGAAGCGAGCTGGTCTAGTGATAGAGCTCAGGGCTTCGGAGCCCGAGGTCCCATTTTCAAATCCCGCCAATACCCAATGGATTCTATGTGATAATTCCGTGATCTTCTAGGCCTATTCTAAAGTAATGTGTAAAACAGTTCCTCACTAGAACCTAGCGCCCTAGGATTTGAAGATGGCACATAAAAAAAGTAAAGTTATTGATAAAAATGAACGTGATTTGTTGTATATCTCTATCAAATTGATGTTTTAGCGAATTTCCCTATAGGGAAGTAGGTAACCGCAGGGGGCTCACGCTTGCGTGGGTTCATGGCCTGGGCGACCACGCGGACCCTAGCTCTCCCAGAGGGGAGGTAATTGCCCGGTGTTGGAACCGGCACTTCAGGTAGACCACAAGCTATGGACGACTGGACAAGCCAGCCTCTTTGGGTTTACCCAAAGTGAGAGTACCCAGTGACATTCCCTCCATTCAGGGTGGTGGGGGTGTTCAGCTCTGCTAGTGTTGATTAAGTTCATAGATCTTTCACCTGCCTGTAGCTTGTGGTTGTGACTGAGTCCTACCTGTCGTGTGCGACTGACATTTTGTGAGGCATATCCTCGACTTTGGAAGTAGCCTCGTCCTGGGAGGTGAAATACCTAGCCCCCAGAGGGGAGGTAAATGTTCCGTGTTGGTATCGGCATTTTCAAGTTGGCTACAGACATGGTCGACTGGGCATCGGGTCCCAGTGACATTCCTTTATCCAGGATGGAGGGGTGTTTAGCTCTAGGAGAGATGGAAGTACATCATAATCTCTAACCTACCTGTGTCTGTGGTTCTTTGGGCTTCGGCCTGCTTGTTGTGTGCGACCAGCATTCAGTGGGCAAATCCTCGACTTTGGAAGTAACCTTTCCTGGAGGTGAAAACGGGCAAGTACCCGCAGCTCACGGGGACACTCAAGGGCAACGTAACTTTCCGCAGTGTGAGGGCAACGGTTTGTAGGTACTTATGCAAACCTATCCCTGTCTCTGAGCACGGACGGTATGGTTATCTTGAGTGTGGGGGGTTCTTCCCGGAACCTCAATTGAGTCAAGGGTGTCGCCACCTCTGGTGGATAGGTTCATCCGGGTGGGTCCCACTTCTATACCTGCCTCCTTTTGGGAAACCCTGATGGCCTGGCAGTGATGTTGGGTCTGACGGGCAAACGAAGTAGATCGGGTGCTGGGTCCGAGCCCGCCAGGGGTATCTGGGGATCTATCGCTCTGGTTATCTCTGGTTTCCCAGCAATGGGTAAGGCCTCGATCGGGCAGCGGTGTAAATGGGAGGTTGGGGTTCCCCCCGTCAGCGTGCTGATGGTCCCCTTCCTCCTGGCTATTGATGGCGGGTTCTGCCTGTCAGGGATTAGATAGGTCCCGAGTGTTGCTTGCACTAAATGCGTCGGGGCGCTCTACTATGGACCTCTAGGTTTCGACCTAGTGGAACCCAGGTGGAGTGACGCTTAAACAAGCAGCCGGAATCCCTGGTTAGGATTGAGGGGCAACCCTCTTTCCGAAGGGTCTGCTTCGGCAGCCGGCGAGCCTGATGACCTTAAGTCATCCGCCCATGATGTGCTAAAGGTTGATGCGTAAGCTTCGGCCTACATCATGGGGCCCGGGTATGTCCAGAAGGATAGGTACCGGGTAAGCAGTCAGGGGGCTTCGGCTCTCATGACAACAAATATAATATAATAATAATAATAGGGAAGTAGGTCTCATGGTAAGACCTAGGCCCGGGACCGATTTACTTTTCGATTTTGATGTCCCCAGAGCCCAAAAACACCATTCGTTTAAATTTTTATGTATGTATATATATATCTATATTTATATATATATTTTTTTCCTTAGGACGCTAGGCAAGAGCCTGGGATTGTTTTTCACATTACTTCAGGCTAGAACTAGGGGTTGCGGCATTATCACTAAGATAAAATCCATTGGTGACTTGGCGGGGATCGAACCCGGGACCTCAGGGACTGAAGTCCCGCGCTCTAACCACTACGCCAGCTCGCTCCCCATATATCTATATATATATATATATATATATATATATATATATATATGTGTCCATCCGCACGATAACTTGAGTAATTTTTGTCCGATTTTGATAAAATTTGGTATGAAGGTGTAAGGCGGGATAAACTTGAATGAGATCGCGAACCAGCCTGATCGGACTATGGTAACGGGGGTTTACGGGGGGTTTTATGGGGTAAAAATAGGTTTTTCCCATTTTTGACCCAAAAAACATAAAATTTAGCAATTTCTTTCCAAACCATTTTGTAGAGCTTAAAAAAACAAATAATTTAGTATATTGAAGTGTTATTATGCGCCTAATGGTTACGGAGAAAATAAAAAAAAAATTTTAATTTTAAATTCCCATGTTATTCTTATGGAGAACAAGTAAACTGTTGTAGTTTGCTTGTTTATGAACACATTTTGATCAAATTTGGAAAATGTTTTTATTTCTTACTAACCATTAACATTTAACAAAAAAAAAAAAAAAAAAAAAATACAGTTTTACCCTCCCTGATGCAGAAAACCTAAGTACTTGTTAAACTAATTCTATTTAAATAGAAAATAAATGTTATATTTTTAAGTAGACATTTTAGTGTAAATCCAATCAGGCAAATGGAAATTCACTTAGTCTGCAGGTTTGCTGCTGCGGGGGTATTTTAATTTGTTTTCTATCTTTTTTTTTTAAAGAGGTTGGCGGCCTCTTTTAACCTTGCATTTACCCGTCCACATAGACTAAGCACCTGTGCGTGGAACGTTTACAGCAAAGCAAGGAGTGAGCCGGTACAGTACAAAGGTGAACTGTACTGATAAATATTAGTGGCAGTGACCAGGATCCGAACCCACGACATCGCTGCCTTTGGCCCGAAGTCCGCGATGCTACGGACTGAGCCACCGACTCACATCTAACTTGCTATTTCACCTCCTTTGTCGAGTTAGAAGGTACAAGCATTGACTTGGATACTCAAGAAGACTTTTCTGAAGCTGGTTTTGATGTGTCTTTCATGTCTGTAATGCGAGAGTGGATTTAAGTCAAATTAATGTTTCTTCGTTACTTTAGGTTATATTTTACAGTGTGCTTATTCTTTGCAGTTCCAGGAGTATAGCAGAAGTTCATAAATAGACAGATAGTTGTGTTTGATAGAGTAAAAATTAAAGTTATTACATATGACAGTGGCAGTCAGTAAACTATTTCATTGAGGAGAAGAGCATTATGTGAGCTTTTTAACAT